CGGAGGACGGATGATCACTCCCACTGTACGGGTGGGGAAATTGAGGCCCAGGGAGTAAAACCAACTCGTCCCAGGGCACACACGATCGTGAGACCTAGAGGAGCTGGAATTTGAACTCACAGGTGCTTTCCGCTAAGCGCCATCCTCTAACTTTGCATGCTTTAGAGCCACCCAAAAAGAAAAACGACAATAACAGCGCCATAGGCCGTTGTGAAGCTGAAAGTTGCAGAGCGCATTTGAAAGCGTTTTTTGGAAAAGTCCTTTTCTAGGCCATGAATTATATTCTGGGGGATGAGTTGTGGGGAACAGAACAGATCTTTCCCCATTGTACAGATGGGAAGACTGAGGTCCGGGGGGACGTAATTACTTTTTCCAGGTTCCACTACATGTCAGATGGTAAGGTGTTGTCAAACCGAGGATATTTGTTTTGCAGCCCCAGCGGAAAGTGTGCGGGGGTGGGGGTCAGTGCGAGGAGAATTAATGTACGAGCGTTGGGAATTCAAGTGGTCCCAAATTAGGGTGGCTAGATTAGGGCAGGGAGCCCAGTCTAGGGGCGACTCGTAGATCTCAGATTGAACCCGGGTCAGGGAGCTGGGACCATCCCCATCTCCTGCCTGGGGGCGGGGGCTAGGGGGCGGGGCCCAGGAGAGTGATGGGGGCAGTCGAGATACGGAAACGCCAGCCCTCCAAGGCAGGCCAGAGCGGCCCTATCTGGCCAGTGTGGCTCAGTGGAGAGCTAGAGCGGCCGGCAGGAGGAGTAGAGTTTCCTGGGCAAGAACTTGGCAGGAGCTGGGCTAGAGCGGCTAGAGGGAGCAGTGGAGCTGGACGCAAAGGTGGCCTGTGGGGCGGCTAGAGCGACTCGGAGGCGGGGGTGGGGGTGCACAGAGCCGGCGCGCGGAGGCTTCGGTTCTAGAGGCTGCGGTGCTTCTCCGACCCGGAGCAGGTGAGGGACGCGGCCCCCGGCGGGCGTCAGGCCCTGGCTCCGCACGTCCGCCCCAGCATCCCTGACCGTGCACACTGCCACGTCCCCTGTAGGATTTGGGGCCCGTGTACACCCGCCACGTCCTACATGATCTGGGGCTCCTGTAGACCCTCCACGTTCCATGTAGATTACAAAGTTCTACAGACCCTCCAGGTTCCTGCTAGCCCCCCTCCTCATGGAAATCCAGCTCCTTACGGACGAGGGGTTCCCATAGATCGATAGCATCCCCTGTCATCCAGGGCCCTGCAGATCCTGGACCTCGGGGACCCCCACACTCCCTATAGAATTCTGATCCCCTTTTAAATCTCCCAAAGTCCCATAAACTAGCTATTTTCCCTATGGAATCCCCAGGATCCTTGTAGACCCACCATGTGTCAGATAGAATCTGGGATCTTATGCATTCAAAGGACCTCTTATGGACTCATTTTAACTACTGTTTTAGGTTCTTTAAAACACCCAGAGGTTCTTGGAGACCAAGGTCATCTACTCAATATCTTACAGACCCTGAGCCCCGCACAGAACCCAGGTGCCTGTGTAGTCCCTCACAGGTGCCTGCTCTGCTCTAGGACCCCGATCCCTAAGGACCTTATATACCTGCCCTCATCCCTACAGCCCCATGCATACAACACCCCCTCTGCTGGATCCCTAGCCTTGTCAGTTGCCTATAGATCCATCTGACCGCTTCAACCTATAATTCCATAGCTTTTGTGGGACCCTCTCACCCCCATCTTCTAAGTAGCAAACGTCCCCAGCCCCACCCCCAAAATCTCTGAGCCTAGGCCTCTGTGGAGCAGCCAAGTCCAATTTGCACTTCTGCCCAGGCCACAGGGCTTGCATACCCCTGACTCCCAGACACTGTGAAGAGACCTGATGTGTCTCACCTTTGGTTCAGATTTCAGTTTTCTAAGATTGGAGTGGGGATTCCCCATGCTCTGAGGCAGCACATTCTAGGAGTTAAATGTATAAACTCTGGAGCCAGACTGCTAGGATCTGAATCCTGGCTCTGTCTCTTATGAGCTGTGCCTCAGTTTCCTTCTCTGTAAAATGGGGATAATACTAATAAGAAGACTGACTTCATGGGGTCACTGAGAGGATTAAGTGAGCAATACCTAGCAAGCAGTAATGCTGTGCCTGGCGTGGACTTAATGGCACTAAGTACACATTAAGTGTTAGCTGTTATTTCGTATCATTGTGACGAGGGATAAAGGAGATGACAACATATCAAGTGCATGATCCGTGGCCTGCCTGGCACCTAAGCGTTTGCTCAGATAACATGTATCCTCTCCTTTGCCCCTTTGAAATCTCCCCTGCCTGTGTCGAACTTTTCCACCCCTGAGTGTGATGAGCAGGGACCTGCCCCCCCACCCCGTGTCCATGGTCATGCTTTCCAGCCCAGAAGTTGCAGCTGGTGGCCTGGTGAAGGTTTTCCATCTCAGATGGGAGTACTAATAGCACAAGGTGCCTATGGTGATGAGGGTTCAGGGAGTTACTCCTTGAGACGCACTTAGAGCAGTACTGCAAGTGCTGTGAAAGTTCAGCTCTCATAATAAATAATTACGATTATTTTTCCGCCTTGGTTTGCAAATTTATTTATGTGAACATTTAACAATGCTCAAATCTTAAATTACCCAAGCGTGGGTGTTGAACAGATACACTTAGTGAAAAAGGATAAAAATGAGGCCTGCTTGGGTGAACCCATAGGATGGTATTTGGACACTCCAGAAAGCATCACTGTTTAATGATTGTAATCAGAATCACGGCTGCCATTTATTGAGTGCTAGGGAGGAGGCCTGCGGAAGAGGGAGAAGGGTGGGTCTTCAGCAACTGGAGTTATAAATAGCTTTGGGCTGTGGGGAGAACCCCCCCCCCACTGGTTCACCCCACCCCTGTTTCCACAGCTCCTTCCCGCCTGACACGGGCTCGAGTGGCGTTAGTCAGACTAATTAAGGACACAGAAGATGTCGGTGGGAAGACGCAGGGAGAAGTGGAGACTCTGAGGGAGACGAGATGGGAGAGACAGCGAGAGATGAGAGAGAGAGAGGAGAGACAGCACATGAGACAGCGACTCGGACAGGTGCGGGGACGGTGGTGGCAGGACCCAGATGTGGGGAGACAGAGGCAGAGACAGAGGGGGGAGATGGAGCAACAGAAGCAGAAGTGGGGTGTAGTGGCCGAGGGGGGAGGCTGGGGAGGGAGGTGGGAGGGGACGCAAAGACAGAGACGGTGGGGAAAAGGAGACAGGTGTGAAGGAGAGAGAAAATGAAGAAATGGGGAAAAAAGGCAAATACATGAGGCAAACTCAAGGGAGAGACAGCCAGGGAGAGCTGGCTGGGGAAAGGCAAGTTGGCAGACAGACGGACGGACAGGTGGACGTAGGGAGAGGGAGATAGTTGCACCTTGGGGATGAGCGGTCTGAGGACCACCCCATATTTTCTGGGACTGGAAGGCAGAAAGATGCCAGGTCCCTGAGGGAGGAAGGTTCAGAGCTTTGTTTTCTTATGTGGAGAGAGTTGGGGGTTGGGGGTTTGCCGTTGTGATTTCCTGTCACAGGAAGTGGGGCTGGTGGGTTCAGAGGCAACATCCTGCCCCAAGCCTGTCACAGGTCAGAGGAGAGCCCCCCACACCCCAGTTATCTCCCTCCTGTCTCCCCATTAACCTTCCCAACTCTGCTTGCCTCCAGGCCCTGCCTCTCCAGGACCCGCACCCAGCCCCCTCCTCCATTCGGGACCCAAAATTGCAGGCTCTCATGGCCACAGCTCTCAGGGACCCAGGCTCCTAGCCTCCAGCTTCCCACCACCACCACAAGGCCCCCTGTCCTTGGGCTCCCCGCCCTGGCTGGCCTCTGAAGGGCTCTTTGTCGCCACACAGAGGCCCCATTGAGCTGTGGAGGCCAGGATGGGGGGGAGGCTGTTTACTCACCTTCGCACCTGGGCCAGGAATCTGTGAGTAACCGCCCTCGGCGCCTCCTCCCCACCTCTAACCACGGCCCCTCCTCTTCCCCCAGCCCGGCAGAGCCCATGGAAGCAGAAGACGCTGTCGCCCGAGGGGCGGTGAGTGGAGGGGGGGGGTGACGGGACTTGGGGGCTGTGAGGTGGGGGAACACCCTGGGTTGAAGCCATCCCTCCCCTTCCACAGGCCCCGGGGCCCCCCGGCCTGGCCTGGTGCCCGTCAGCATCATCGGGGCTGAGGATGAGGATTTTGAAAACGAGCTGAAGACGGTGAGAGGGAGGTGGGATGGAAAAGCTTCTTTCTGTCCCAGGGGCCCCAGCCCTAAAGTCCATCCTCCGTGTCCCTTCAGGCCTTCTGTCCTGTTCTCCATCCTCAGATGCTGTCTCTGCCTCCTCTCACTGCCCATCTCTCTTTTCTTTAATCTTCCTGGTACCTACTTCCTCATCCCCCAACCCCATCCTCAAGGCCTCCCATCACAGTACAGACTCTCACCTATTTACTCTAACCCCAGCTTTTATTTCTGCCCCCACAACTGCAGCACAGATCCCCGTTCCATCTCTCCTGATTTCTGTCCTCATCACTCACCATTATAACATGAAGTCTCGTCCATTTTCCCGCCCCTGACTGCCACTGTCATGGCAGAGACACCGTCAGCATCCCCACCTCCCAGCTTGGATCCATTGGGATGTGCCAGGAAAGAGAGAGGGTCTGTCCCAAAGACCTTCCTCTGCTCCCCGCTGTCTCACTCTCATCCCCGCCCCCAGAACCCAGAGGAGCAAAACAACCAGTTCCAGAGCCTGGAGCAGGTGAAACGGCGCCCGGCCCACCTCATGGCCCTCCTGCAGCACGTGGCCATGCAGTTCGAGCCAGCACCCTTGGTGAGGGCAGGGCTGGGTAGGCACAGGGTGGAGGGGGCTGGGACAGGCTGCAGTGTTCAGTGAGTTAGACCAGTGAGAATGAGCCGGGAGGGTCTGGAAGACAGATCTAGAACACACAGCTTGAGAGCCAGGAAGCCAGTCATGTGAGCAAGACAGTGTTGCAGGTGCCCGGGCTAAATCTCAGCATTCAGTGGGAACAGGCAGGGTCGTGCAGAGCCACGAAGAATCCAGCAGCCTGGCGGAAACCATGCCCCCGCCCCCTTCCGGGCCCGTGGCAGTATCACCCATCAGTGACAGCGCCCTTTCCCTCAGTCTCTTGAAATCAGATTCTCCGCACAGCCTCAGCAGGTGCCACCAGTCAGTCCTTCGGGGCTGATGGTTGGGAGAGAGCCGTTAGCCTTCTCAGTTCCGGGTGGCACAGCAGGCTCTGGTCCAGAAGTAAGAAAACCACTACAAGCTGCCCATGAGGCAGAGAGAATGTAATAGATGATCTGGAAGCCTTGTATCAGGCAGAAAATACCAAAGGTGTATGGATGTGGAGCCATGCCATCTGGAAAACCCCTACAGAGTCTAGAGAACCCAGCAGGTGACTTAGGGAGCAAGAAGCCACAGTGCTGGCTGGAGGGGGCTCCGTGGACCAGGGTCCCATCCCAAGAAGACCCAGTGCAGCTCAGCGCAGGCTGGGAGCTGGGGTTATTCCACGGTACTGTGTTGTACTGGAAACGCATAGCAGATCCCTCCAGAAAACAAGGAGACTGATGGCAGTGGCAGGGAGGGACGCCTGGGGACCCAGAGAGAAGGGTGCATCGACTGGCATCAAAGCTTCAGAAACTGGCAGCAAATCAGGAGAAAATTGCCTTCTTTCCAGAAAGGTGGCTGCCACCTCCCCTGGTGCTGGAGGCTCTGACCCTCTGGGTGGGCGGGTCCCCGTGCTGAGCCTGAGGGTTCTAGAACTCTAGCTCCTGGAACTTAGCCCAGGGGTTGTGCTGACTGCTGTATCTCTTGTGGAATGTGGAAACTGAGGCCTGGCAAGGGCCAGGGGTTTGGCTGAGGTGACCCAGATGACCTTTGGTATTTTGAGATTGGTCCTCATGCTGCTGTCACCTCATTGGCTGGGGAAGCGGCAGGGAGATAGTTGTGGTCCCCTGAGCTGTTTCCTGTTGGCCTCTCTTGGAGGTTTGCTTTATGGGGGGTGGGGAAGGGGCGAGCATAGGTGACAGGGGCAAGTCTTTAGCACACTGAGACCATGTCTCTTACCTGAAGAGAGCCCCCAGAAGCCAGGACAGGTTGGAGGCCCCACAGCATTGCCAGCGTCACCTAGCACAGGGCTGCTGCACAGGCAGCCTCAGGGAACGCTTGATGAATGAGTGAGTGAGTCCCACTTGTCCATCTGTGTATGTACCCAGCCCCGCTGTGCACTGGGCCTTGTCTAGGATACAGATGAATCAGAACCTCCCACCCTATCCCCCAACACTAACCTTCAAGTAACTCATGGACTTGCCAGGCAGTGGAGAACAGCAGACAGGCTGCCTCAGATCCAGTCCCAGCTTTGCTGCTTACTAGCCATGTGACCTTGAGCAAGCTGTTTTCTCATCTGTAAAATGGGATAATGATAGTCCTCCCCCTGGTCAAACAGGTTAATGCATATAGAGGGTTTGGACAGCATCAGGTCTGCACCCAGCACTCGTGAGTGTAGCTGATGGTGGTGGTAGCAGCAGCATCAGGGAGGAGACGGACCACAGAGAACCATTTCACAGGAGAGAAAATTAGCTGCTGTGGTGGCCCCAGGAAGCTGTGAGAGAGGCAGGCGAGGGCCTGGTGTGGGGATGGTGGGCATCAGGGAGCACTTCCCAGACAGTGTGCGCCCCAAGGCTTTCCAAGGGGCACTGTGGTTCAGGTGGGGTGGGAGGGAGGGCTGTCACGCTCTGTCTCCCCCAGCTCTGCTGCCTGCACGCGGACATGCTCAGCCCACTGAGTCCCAAGGAGGCCAAGAAGGCCTTCACAGATTTCTACCACAGCTTCCTGGATAAGACTGCGGTGAGAGACACCTTCCAGGGGGCCCAGTATCCCCTCCTCTTAGCCCTGGACAGCCACCCTGCTCCTCTCTCCACGGCTCCCTCCCCTCAGAGCATTGTCCAGGACCTGGGCTGCCATCCCATTGACCCCATCACTGCTCCCTTTGCTGCTGAGTCCTCCCCTCACTCCATTCTCTCTCCTGAACAGATTCTTCGGGTGCCGATCCCTCCCATTGTGGCCTTTGAACTTGGTAAGGACTTCGGGATGAGGGAGCAGTCTCTAGCAGGGGCCAAGAGCCCCAGAGAGGGAGGCCACATCCTCCTGCTCCCTGGACAGCAGAGATTCCTTCCTTCCTTCCTTGTGGCCACGGCAGCCAAGGAGGTGTGGTTGTCAGAGTCCAAGGGTTGGAAGGGACTCGGAGCCCAAGGAACTGGCCCCCATCCCCAGCCCCTGTCCCTGCAGACCGCACACGGCCTGACCTCCTCCCTGAGGACGTCCAGCGACAGTTCGTGCATGAGGTGGTGCAGAAACAGCAGCCAATTGTCAGCCAGCAGCTGGAGGACTTCCGCTCCAAGAAGCTCATGGGCATGACACCCTGGGAGCAGGAGCTGGGCCAGCTGGGGGCCTGGGTTGGGCGAGACCGAGCGAGCTTCGAGGCCAGGGAGCGGCACCTGGCTGAGCGGCAGCTGACCCACCTGGAGGAGATGCAGTGAGCGGGGCTGGCCCCTCCCCAGCAAGGAACCCCCTCTGCTGTCTGCTTCCCTTCCGTTCCATTTCCGGGCTGTCCTCTGCCATTTCCGGTTCATTTCCTAGTGTTTAGGTTCTTCCCCTGACTTCTGGGCCCTAGCCCCAGCGTTTTAGTCCATCTGGTTTCGCGTCTTCCCTTCCCACCTCTGGGGTCCCTCCTAGTTTCCGGGTCTTGTCATCATCTGGTTCAGGCCTGAGGTTTGGATCCTGTTCTTGCAACTCCCATCAGCCCAGATGCGAGTCTATCCTCCCGTGATTGGCTTTCCCAGCTGCTTCGGCAGTCCCGTGTCTGCCTCTCCCGTCTCCCTGTCCCAGCTTTGAAGGGGACAGCAATCCGGACATTGGTGCTGGGTGGACTAGGACCCCAGGCTTAGCAAACTTGTCACAAACTTCTCTCTTCTTACAGACACACCATATCTGGCGATGAGGAAAAGAGGTGATGGAAACCGAGAGGCTGGGAGGGAGTTTAGGCTCCTGAACCCGAGGGAGGAGGGGCTGGGGGCCTAGGGGTTGAGCCACATCCTTGGCTCTGTCCTTTAGAACCCTCTCTCTCCCCTTTCCTCAGAGATGCTCGGCAGGAAGTGGTTGTGGGGCTGGGGTGGGAAGTTAGCAGAGGGGAATCTGTGAAGGCGGCATTGTACCTGTGTCCATTAGAGCGTGCACGACTGTGCACGTCTGCACTTCGAGGTCCTCACCATCCCCTCCCTGCAGTGCCGCTGTGGTCAACGCCATCAGCCTGTACATGCGCCACCTTGGAGTGCGGACTAAGAGTGGGGACAAAAAGTCGGGGAGGAATTTCTTCCGGAAAAAGGTGCTTCCCCAAGCGCCCAAACCTGGCCCTTTCCTCCCTAGAGACCCTCTGGGGAGCCTCGAGACTCTGCAACCCTGGGGTCTAATTCCTCTTTGTTGGCGTCTCAGAAATGTCCAGCCCCACCTCCCCCTACCTTCCACAGGTGATTGGGAACCGGCGGTCAGATGAGCCCACCAAGACCAAAAAAGGACTGAGCAGCTTCCTGGATGCCGCCCGCTGGAACCGGGGAGAGCCCCAGGGTGAGGTGCCTGGCTTCAGCCCTGCCCCGACTTCCCGATGCATGCCACCCCCACCTCATGGTCCCACCTCTCTTTTCAGCCCCGGATTTTCGACACCTCAAAGCCGAGGCTGATGGTAATGGTCCTGAAGCCAGAGCATCCATCCTGAGGACCTAAGAGGGGAGGGAGGAGGACCAATTGAGTCTGAGGGAGGACGGACTGGCAGCTGGGACTCCTGGGTCTGAGAGCGGAGGAGGGGTGTCCTGGGTGAAGGGGAAGACGAGGCAGAGCCAGCATCTTGGATCCCCGGGTTGTTGTGCATTAGAGTCTCCAGACTCTTATTTCTCTCTTTTTCCCTCAATGTCTTCCCAGCTGAGAAGCCAGGCCTTACAGAACGGAAGGGGGGCCTGGGGGTGCCCTCCCGGGATCGGAATATCGGAGCATCTGGGCAGGACACCCCCGGAGTTTCTCTTCACCCTCTGCCTGGGGACAGCCCTGACCGGGAACCAGGTGAGAGTTTCCTGGGCCACCAGCAAAACCACTCCTTAGTCCTCTGCATGCCCCTCCCTGCTCCTGGAATAACCACCCCCTTCCCTCAGTTTACCCTTTTCACAGCTTTCCTGCCAGGCTCTGACCTCTATCCTAGTGACGTGTTTCCCCACCTCTTTGAACTACATTTCCCATCAGCCCCCACAGCTGAACCCCACAGGGTTCATTTCCCAGAACCCTCTCTGTTGCCAGTCAGCCACTTAGTGAGCCCTGCTGCCCTCGTGAGCTTCATGCCTCAATCCTTGTGTGGCCCTCAGCCTGCTGGATCTCAGATAGTTACCTGGCCAGGCCTGGGTTCACATCCTGGCTCTGCACTTTCCTTGGGTTAGAGCTTGGAAGTCACTCTCCTCTCTGAGCCTCAGAGAGGCTTGGGGAGGATTTTAGCGGTTAAGAGAGTGGACTCCGGGGTCAGCTGCCAGGGGTGAATCTCTGCCCCACCACTTACTGCTCTGTGATCCTGAGCAAACCCTTCCCACCTCTCTGGGCTTCATTGTTCTTGTCTGTTAAATGGAGAAAATGATAGTACCTGCCTTGGGGTTGCTTGCAGGATGACAGGAGATAATTGCTGGGAGGTACTTAGCTCACTGGGGAGGTCTAGAAAAGCTGTGGGAAGGGTCAGTGTTATTAAAGTTGAGGCCAGTGGGCTCCAGAGAGATGCTCTAATCTATGTGGGCAGAACGAGGAATATGGTCCCCTCTGAGCCTCAGTCTCCTCATCTCTAAATGGGGTACATTCTCTTCCTACAAGTCTGGGTTGAGGGTTGGGAGAGTGAGCAGATGTGGAGGCACGAAGGGCATAGCATCCAGTCTCCACCCAGATTATACAGTTGATACCTAGTTTTGAGGCATCTTCACCCACCGTGCCCCAGCCTACCATAGCTGTGTTCTCAGAGGTCATTCCATCCATCCATCCCCTACTGAGGTACAGAGCAGCCACTTGGTGTCCGCCAGGCACTGGCTGGCTTTAGCCCCCAACCCAGATTCTGCAGCAGAGGAACTAAGGTCCCCATGGTGTGGAGCTCACTGTGGCAGGAGTCTTCCAACCAGCCTTGCTCTCCCTGCCCCCTTGCTGCCCCTACAGGTGTAGATGCCCTCCCAGAGGTGGGGGACCCGCCCCCGCAGGGCCCGGCCAGCCTGGAGACCCTGGCACCCCCTGAGAGCACCGAGGAGGGTGCTGACACAGAGAGGTGCCCAGGGTTGGGTGCAGGGGAGGGGCTGGGTGGAGGATCATGCTTATCTGGGTGCGGGGAGGGTGCGTGGGGGGCGTTGCGCTGCCATTTGCACCTGCCTATCCCCGAGCCATCTCCACTCTGCCCTGCTCCTCTCTCTTTCTGTCTTTCCCCTTTTTCTTCTACTTTGTCTTTTCTCATCTCCCCTTTCCTTTCTTCCTCTCTTTTTCCTTCGCTTCCTCTTCTCCTTCCTTTTTCACTGATTTTTTTTCTCTTCTCTACTTCCTCCCTCTTTCTCCTTTCCTCCCCCTTCCTCTCCCTTTGATGCTCCTCT